GGGAAGACAGTGAAGGAGGATGGAAGCAAAGAGTTGGTGAAGGGTCCATCCAGTCTGAAGGTTAGCAGCTTCTCCCAGGCAAAGACGCCATTCACCATCATCCTCAAGCAGTCCAAGGGCAATGCAGGCTTGGCGAAAGGTTGGATGAACAACATGATCAACGGTCCTGAGACTTTCAAAGCCTGTAGCCCCTCGAACAGCTGTAAGGAGGAGTCTAAGGTAGAAGCGCTCGCCTGATGCTGGTGCAGCTGCATACATACAACCAATAGCAAAGAAGGGTCGAGTACGCAGCTTCCAAGCCTTTTCTTTCTGCATCCATGCATAGTGCTGTGGGAATTCTTGGTACAGAAATTGCCTTGAAAAACCTTGAATGAGTGGATCAGAATTGGCCTTTGATCAAAAGATTAGAGATTAATGGTGGACTGAAAAATGTAAAGACTTACTGCAAAGTAGGCAGTGAGTTTTGTCTGCTGATTCTGATTCAGAATCTCCTCAACATTATCTTCTTCATGGAAGACGATATGCTGCATATTCTCCTCATGCACAGGGAGGTGGATGATGTTGGGCTTGTGGACATGAAGCTCATACTCCATAAAGCGCCAGAATGCCTCACATGCACCAATCCACCGAGTGTCCAAGTAGATCTTGACTTCATCTGGGCCATTAAACATGACAGTGGCACAGTCTGGACCCTTTGCAATGTACTTGTGGATGTACTTGGTTGCTTTTAGTAGGGAAATTTAGCATTCACATAATATATGGCTGAAAAGGATATTATAACTCACCTGCATACATGTTTGCACAAAACTCTACATTGACATGGCATCCCAAACGGAGTAAGAGATGGGGGTTGTAAGGGACTACATGCCTGTTGTTGAGTTGTTTGCCAGCCTTCTCGACTATCCTTCCATTGTCTCGACGGCGATAGGTTGGGTAACCCCTTTCATCCATGGTTGTAGAATTAGTAAAGGCTTTGGGAAAACCTTTCTTGCAATGACCATGGTCATCAAGGCACCGCTTGGGATCACAGACATGGATCATGCACTGGACAACCAATGCATATAAGGCAGGCTCTGTCTGTGGATCAGGGATTTCAGCCCTGATGACGGCATCGATGTCATCTCCAACCCTTGGCTGATGCTCATTTTTGACCCAAATGAGGATGTGAGCATGAGGGAGGCCACGCTTCTGGAATTCAATGACGTGGACATGTGCAATGGTCTTGCCAAAGAGAGGGTCTTTGTAAAGATCTTTGACGAATGCACGTAACTTCTGATAGAAGACTCGACAAACAATGTCAGGTCTGTCAGAAGCTTGCTGGCCAGGTTCGAGAGCAGCTTGAACCTCTGGCCATTGTGGATTAGCAGTGACAGTGACAAAGTAGGATGCAAATCCAAAGAAGCGTGTGATAGCCATAGAATCCTGGAAGAGTTGGAGCATGTTGCGAGTACTGCCAGGATGGGAGGAAGGAAGGATGAGTCTCTGGCCAACTTCAGCAGGGTCTCGATTGCTGCGAGCAGCATCGATAAGACCTTGGTAGCATTCAGCACGAATGGCCTTTTGATTTGCCCTGACCCAATTAAGTCACATCTGCTCGTTTGCAGCCCAGTGATCTACCAAATACTGCAGGAATAAGCGGCCTAAAATAAGATGTGAGTGAAGCAATCATATATATGGTTTTAGAATTACATACCACCATGCAAAAGAAGGCTTGAGTCTGAGGCCCACTGACCATTCTGATTTTGGATCTCACGTTTGAATAGACGGTATGCATGGAATCGGGTGTGAGATACTTGGGAGACCTTCCTCCTCTGCACTACAGCAACGCCTGGTTCCTCGTCATCGTTGTCATCGTGGCACTCCCCATCATGATCTTCATCTGCAGTTTGGGCATTGTGGAAGGGAATCCCCACATGCCAACCAAACTCTCCATATGGAAAAAGAAGGACATAATGGAGTGGAGTGTAGGCAGGATGAATCTCAGAAATGCGCTGAAGTGGGCCACTGACTCGATGTAAAATGATGTCGCAGGTGTTGTCCACATCTGTACCATCTCCAGGAACAATGGCTGCAATCTCATCCACGACAGGAGCATTATAGCGCCGTTGGTCTTGCTGGATGTCAATATGAATGCGTAAAGGGAGGTCACGCTGATCAGGAGGAGTATCCTGCATTCACTCATGGCCATTTCTGTTTCACACATTTAATTAATCGTTCAAGTGCCTATTTTCTTTGGATAAGAGCTTACCTATACACTTGTACCCAAGGGTTGTGCTCCACCATCATGTCATGCAGATCAAGCATGAGCTGTGGGTCTTGGTCTGCATTTCGATCGATACGGAATTGGTTCATCCGGCGTCTTGCTGCATCATCATGAGGATCGTAAATATAGAGTTGGGCATACTTTGGTTGTTGCCCTTGTTGTGGCAGCAGCAAACCAATGCGATGGTAGAACTGCCCATGGACTTGAAAGGTGTATGGCCCAGCACCCGGGACTGGCTGGTTCATGTGATTGACAAAACCATCCTGGGCACGTATTCCACATGAGACGAAAGCAAGAGCAGCATTATAGCGACAAATGTGTTTATGAAACTCTTGGGCCTTGACCTTGAACGCATCTGATTCATGTGGGGAGTGAGAGTGGACTGTGAGGAGACGATGGAGCAGTGGAGGAGGGGGAAGTGGGTGGGGGAGTCGAACCTTTCCTTGCAGACAGCAAGAGCCAAAATGTGGGTGATTGACTTGTGAATTTGCAAGTCTCTCTCTCTCCCAGTGCAAAGCACCACAGTAGGGGCAACGAACATTCATTTCACCCAGATTGTCCGATGCAGTTTGTATGTTTGGACCCTCTCTATATGGGAGCCAATACTGCTGGACGATCTGATGATCTGGATGAAGGGGTACTGGGGGACGAAGTGGGGATGGAGGGAGATTGCGACCACGTGCACGTGGTGCTGGTGGAGGAGAGGGGAAGCGGCGGCCCAGTGATTGGGCACGGCTTGCGATACCACCTCTAGGACCCTGTTGTAGCCCATGCTCCCCTTGGCTTGGTAAAGATTGGCTATGAACATGGCCTGCTCGACCACGGGCCCTTCCACAGGGTCTTCCACGTGCATTAAGTGGCCGATGAGGGGGCAATTCATTGTAGGCTTGCAAGCGTTGATTGAGCTGCTGTACCCATGGATCATGTGGTGGGGGCTGAGGGACCTGAGGGGGCTGTTGGTCAGGAGCACGCCGTGCAGTTGGAGAATGGAGGCAGCGTTCGTTGCAGCTTTCTGAGCGGTGGGCACGACGAAAAGTTTCAGGGCTTGGTGTTCGTTGTGTTCGTACTTCAGGCCGTGATTGTCTTTCATCAGCCCTAAAGATTGGGCATGAAACACAGTTGATGATTGAGTTTAAGTGGGGATCTCACATTGTGATCACAGTTTTGCAAGATTTTGCCCAGAAGTGGCAACAGAGTGCTGAGTTGCTCAATATTAGTGATATCCCAAGTGCAAGAATGAGTACTATAGTTAACAGGGGTTGTGGAAAGCACAGAGAGTGTGTGTGAGGGAGAGGGAGAGAGATGTTGATCCGATCACGGATCAAAGTCACATGACTGTTCCATTCAATTGAAAGCTGGCAAAGTAGACAATTGCCATATATCTCACTTGATACTGGACCAAATGTCCTGAAAATTTGCGAACTATTCTATATAGTATCAACGCAAGTACTTGGCATTTTTACATATTTTTAAGACATCTATGAGGCACTGGGAAGCGTTTTCCCACGCACAAATCATGCGCATAGGTGATACTGTATTCGTAGCTCTGTCAATTTCTATCCGTTTCTTGTCGGGTTTTTTTCAACAGGCGCGTGTTAATGTTTTCTACAATGTGTACTATTACCCCAACTTGATATTATGCGATCTTGAGGGTGCCAAGTAAAATTTAATGGAATAATTTATCATATCTCGCTTAATCCTGGACCAAATGTCCTGAAAATTTGCGTGATATCTTGTATATTATCAACGCAAGTACTGAATATTTTTACATATTTTTGGGACATCCGTGAGGCGCTGGAGACGGTTTCCCACGCACAGATCATCCGCGGAGCTGGCACTGGATTTGTATCTCTGTCAGTTCTTCACCGTTTCTTTTCGTGTTTATTGCAATGGGCCCGTACTAACCCCCCTTCCATTTGTTACTGTTAGTGAAAGTCGTGAATCAGCATGTATGAGGAATTGGGACGTTTTTTCCACAAATAAAGCATGTACATTGGTTTCTCTGTCAATTCTTATTCGATCTTCGTCGGGTTTCTTTTAATGAGCTCTTACTAACCCCCTCGTAATTTTTTATTATTGGTAAAAGTCGCGAATGAGCGTTTATGAGGCAGTGGGACGTTTTTTCACACTTTTTCACAAAAGAAAACATGCACATTCGTATCTCTGTCAATTATCATTCGTTTTTCATCGTTCTTTTTTGTACATGCTCTTTATAACGTCTTCATTATTTTATATTATTGGCGCACATTGCGAATGATGGTGTATGAGGCGGTGGGACGATTTTCACATTTTTTCACACACAAAAGACATGTACATGCATATCTCTGTCAAATCTCATTCGTTTTTCGTCGGGTTTTTTTCAATGAGCTTGTATAAACAATCTCCTTATATCTTATTATTGTCCTTAGTCGTCAAATAGCCCGTATGAGGCCGTGGACACTGTTTCCCACGCACACACCTCGCGCTGGGATGGGCCACCACTCGTATCTCCCTCAGTTTTCAACCGTTTTCCATGGGGTTTTTTGCAACGGGCGTGTCATGGTCACCTCTCCATCTTTTATTATTACACCAAGATAGGTCATCTAGTACAATTGTTAACATTGAAACAGCTCCCACGGCTCAGAGAACTGCATTGCTTATGAATTTAATTTGTATTGATCAATACATTCAACCTCACTTAAGTATATACTAGAGACCTTTAACCCGTGGGGTGCTCATTCCTCGCACACCCACGTGTTTAGTGGTCTCTAGCTCCTGCGGAGGGCATCGGGGCTGTGCCCCGAACCCCCCTGGGGCGTTGCCCCAGACCCCATGCAATGTTATCCTTGTTATTATTGTTCCCCTTGTGCTAAAGAAATAATGAGATATATGGTGATTATTTATGCACCAAGGGCCAGCCCCTTGAACCCCTGCTCCTGCGGAGAGCTATTGGGGCGTTGCCCCAAGCCCCACTCCTGCGGAGAGCCTGGGGCTGCGCCCCAAACCCCCCTGGATATATTTGATTATTTTTTACACCAAGGGGCCAGCCCCTTGAACCCCTGCTCCTGCGGAGGGCCATCAGGGCCTTGCCCCGAACCCCACTCCTGTGGAGAGCCTTGGGGCTGCACCCCAAACCCTGCACCGCCAATCATACACAGGAATGAGAAATGCCTTTCCCTCTTGGCAATGCACTGGGAGTGAGGCCCTGTTTTCCTTCATTTCCTGCCCATTTCTGCAAACCCACCACCCCAACTGATCAAGTTTTGTCTGTTATTCCTTTGTAAGTTTATAAAACAGTGTTCCCCATATTGCCATGAATTCTTTTGGATTTTATTTTATGGAGAGCACCTTGCTTTTATTTTTCTGTCTTTTTATTCTATGTTGCCGTGAATTTTCTGGATTTTATTTTATATAAAATTTATTTTCCTTTGTTGTCCCACACTGCCGCAATTTTTTCAGATTTTATTTTATACAGAACACCTTGGTTTTATTATTTTTGGATGTTTCTGTTTGATGTTGTTCCAAGTTGCCATGAATTATCTCAAATTTTACCTTATATAGAACCCTCATTTGATTCTGCTCCGGATTTTAATTATTCAATTATTATTTATCTGTTTATTTTACATGCTAATAGCGAAATACATAGAAAAAAACAGTACCACCATTTATGATACATGCCAATTTCGAAAACATAACCAAACATAACTAATACAACACTACTATTATTATCTAATTGTATATGCTAATTAGCGAAAACAACAAAAAAAATAACCAATACAACAACAAAACTGCTACTACTACTATCATTATTTATTAATAACTAATTAGCGAAAACAACCAAAAAAAAAAAAAATAACTAATACAACAACTACTACTACTACTACTACTACTACTTTTATTTTATTATTACTACTTACGATTATTATGACCTATTTATTTACCTATCTACCTATTTTATCTATTTATCTACCTATTTTACATGCCAAAGTCACATGGGAGCAAAAAAGAGTTGCTCCCATGGGGGGTTTGAACCGGTTTTGAGTGGGGGTATTAGTACTTTTTCGCATATGTCTGTGCGCGGAAAAAGTTGTGGGAGGTTACGCTCAATTGCTCACGTGAATTTCCTCAAACTAAACATATACACGTGATTTGTCACATAAACCTATCATATCTCTGTCAGTTCTCATCCGTTTCTCTTCAGGTTTTTTTCCATGGGTGCGTCCCAATGTCCTCTACATGCTGTATTATTAGTCCGACTCGTCGTTCGGCGATCCTGAGGAGATTATGGTGATTTATCGCATTCCCCATGCACAAACTGTATAGTAATCTATTATATCTTGCTTGATACTGAACCAAATGTTTTATAAATTTGCGTACTAATTTATATATTATTAACGCAAGTTTTTGACATTTTTTTATATTTTCTTTGACATGCCATGAGGCGCTGGAAGACGTTTCCCACGCACAGACCACGCGCGGAGCAGACACTACATTCGTATCTCTGTCAGTTCTTATTCGTTTCTCCTCGGGTTTTTTTTAACGGGCGCGTATTAATTTCTCCTATAATGTGTATTATTACCCCAACCTGATACTTTGCGATCTTGAGGGTGCCAAGTGAAATTTAATGGAATAATTTATCATATCTCGCTTGATATTGCACTAAATGTCCTGAAATTTTGCGAGCTATTTTATATAGTATTAGCGCAAGTACTTGATATTTTTACATATTTTTAAAACATCTGTAAGGTGCTGGGGACCGTTTCCCACGCACAGATCATGCGCGGAGCTGACACTGGATTTGTATCTCTGTCAGTTCTTATTCGTTTCTCTTCGGGTTTTTTTCAACGGGCGCGTGTCAATGCCCTATACAATGTGTATTATTACCTCAACCTGATATCTTGCGATCTTGAGGGTGCCAAGTGAAATTTAATGGACTAATTTATCATATCTCGCTTGATACTGCACCAAATGTTTTGAAAATTTGCATGCTACTCTAAATATTATTAACGCAAGTATTTGATTCTTTTACATATTTTTAAAACACCTGTGAGGTGCTGGAGAACGTTTCCCACGCACAGATCACCCGCGGAGCTGACAGTGGATTGGTATCTCTGTCAGTTCTTGACCGTTTCTCGTCGGGTTTGCTGCAATGGGCCCGTATTAACCTTTTCTCCATGTGGTATCATTAGTGCAAGTCGTGAATCAGCATGTATGAGGAGGTGGAACGATTTTTCCCCAAATAAAGCATGTACATTAGTATCTCTGTCAATTTTGATTCGTTGTTCATCGGGTTTCTTTTAATTAGCCCGTACCAACCCCCTGGCTATTTTCTATTATTAATGCAAGTCGCTAATAAGCGTTCATGAGGCAGTGGAACAGTTTTTCACAATTTTTCACAAAAAAAAGCATATACATTCGTATCTCTGTCAATTATCATTCGTTTTTCACCGTTTTTTTTCGTACATACTTGTAACAATGCCTTCATTATCTTATATTATTGGCGTCAATCGCGAATGAGGGTCTATGAGGCAGTAAGACGGATTTTCACATTTTTTCACACACAAAAGACATGTACATGCATATCTCTGTCAAATCTCATTCGTTTTTCGTCGGGTTTTTTTCAATGAGCTTGTATTAACAATCTCCTCATTTAATATTATTAGCACGCGTCGTCAAACAGCCTGAATGAGACGTGGTCACTGTTTTCCACGCACACAACTCGTGCTGGCATGGGCCACCACTCGTATCTCCCTCAGTTTTCAACCGTTTTTCATGGGGTCTTTTGCAATGGAATCGCTCAAACGACCTCTCCATCTTTTATTATTACACCATGATAGGTTATCTAGTGCAATTGTTAACATTGGAACAGCTCCCACGGCTTGCAAAACTGAATTGCTTACGAATTTAATTTGTATTGAACAATACAAAAACTGAATAGAACAATACATTCAACCTGACTTAAGTATATACTAGAGACCTTTAACCCGTGGGGTGCTCGTTCCTCGCACACCCACGCGTTTAGCAGTCTCTAGCTCCTGCAGAGGGCATCGGGGCTGCGCCCCGAACCCCCTGGGGCATTGCCCCAGACCCCATTGGGGCTCCACCCCATGCAACGACATCCTTGTTATTATTGTTCCCCATGTGCTAAAGAAATAATAAGATATATGGTGATTATTTATGCACCAAGGGGCCAGCCCCTTGAACCCCTGCTCCTGCAGAGGGCCATCAGGGCCTTGCCCCGAACCCCACTCCTGCAGAGAGCCTTGGGGCTGTGCCCCAAACCCCGCTCCATTAGTCATGCACAGGAATGAGAAACACCTTCCCCAATCCACTGGGAGTGAGGCCTCTGCATTGTTTTTCTTCATTTTCTGGCCATTTCTCCAAACCCACCACCCCAACCACTCCCCATCACATGAAATTCCTTGTAAGTTTATAAAACAGTGTTCCCCATGTTGCCATGAATTTTTTTGATTTTATTTTATAGAGAGCACCTTACTTTTATTTTTATTCTATACTGTCCCATGTTGCCATGAATTTTCTGGATTTTAATTTGCATAGAATACCTTGGTATTATTTTTCTTGGTTTTCCCACATTGCCGCAATTTTTTCAGATTTTATTCTATATAGAATACCTTGTTTTGGATGTTTCTATTTCATGTTGTCCCACGTTGCCGTGAATTTTTCGAATTTTTACCTTATCTGGAACCTTAGTTCATTTGGTTCTGTTGTTGGAAACTCCGGATTTTAACTTACTTACTTCCTATTTATTTATCTATTTTACATGCTAATAGCGAAAATACAAAGAAAGAAACAATACTACCATTTATTGTACATGCCAATTTTCGACAAAAAACAATAACCAATACAACAAAAATACTACTACTATTACTATAATTATTTATTTATTTATTTACTATTATTATTATTATTATTATTATTATTTACGACTATTATGACCTATTTATCTACCTATTTATCTATTTATCTATCTATCTATTTCATCTATTTTACATGCCAAAGTCACATGGGAACAAAAAAGAATTGCTCCCATTGGGGGTGTAAACTGGTTTTGAGTGGGGGTATTAGTACTTTTTCGCATATGTCTGTGCATGAACAAAGTTGTGGGAGGTTACACTCAATTCCTCACGTGAATTTCCTCAAACTAAACATATACACGTGATTTTTACATAAATCTATCATATCTCTGTCAGTTCTCATCCGTTTCTCGTCGGGTTTTTTTCAATTGGCGCGTCTTGATGTCCTCTACATGTTGTATTATTAGTCCGACTCATCGTTCGGCGATCCTGAGGAGATTATGGCGATTTTACTCATTTCCCATGCACAAACTGTATGGTAATCTGTTATATCTCACTGAATATTGCATCAAATGTTCTATAGTTTTGCTTCCTATCTTATATATTATTAACGCAAGTTTTTAACATTTTTTCATATTTTCTTTGACATGCCATGAGGCGCTGGGGGACGTTTCCCACGCACAGACCATGCGCGGAGCAGACACTGCATTCGTATCTCTGTCAGTTCTCATTCGTTTCTCTTCGGGTTTTTTCAACGGGCGCGTGTCAATGCCCTCTACAATGTGTATTATTATTTTAACCTGATATTCTGCGATCTTGAGGGTGCCAAGTGAAGTTTAATGGAATAATTTATCATATCTCGCTTGATACTGGACCAATTGTCCTGAAAATCTGCATGCTATTCTAAATATTATTAACGCAAGTACTTCATATTTTCACATATTTTTAAAACACCTGTGAGGTGCTGGAGAACGTTTCCCACGCACAGATCACCCGCGGAGCTGACAGTGGATTGGTATCTCTGTCAGTTCTTGACCGTTTCTCGTCGGGTTTGTTGCAATGGGCCCGTACTAACGTTTTATCCATTTGGTATTATTAGTGCAAGTCGTGAATCAGCGTAAATGAGGAGGGGGAACGTTTTTTCCACAAATAAAGCATGTACATTAGTATCTCTGTCAATTCCCATTTGTTATTCGTCGGGTTTCTTTCGATGGGCTCGGACCACCTCCCTGGTCATTTGCTATTATTGGTGCAAGCCGCGAATGAGCGTGTATGAGGCGGTAGGACATGTTTTTACATTTTTTCACAAAAAAACCATGTACATTCGTATCTCTGTCAATTATCATTCGTTTTTCGTCGTTTCTTTTCGTACATGGTTCTAATCACGTCCTCGTCATTCTATATTATTAGCGTACATTGTTAATGAGGGTCTATGAGGCAGTAAGATGGATTTTCACATTTTTTCACACACAAAAGACATGTACATGCATATCTCTGTCAAATCTTGTTCGTTTTTCGACGGGTTTTTTCCAATGAGCTTGTACACACAACCTCTACATATCGTATCATTAGCCTTAGTCGTCAAATAGCCCGTATGAGGCCGTGGACACTGTTTCCCACGCACACAACTCGCGCTGGGATGGGCCACCACTTGTATCTCCCTCAGTTTTCAACCGTTTTCTATGGGGTTTTCTGCAATGGATGTGTCATGATCACCTCTCCATTTTATATTATTACACCACGACAGGTTGTCTAGTACAATTGTTAACATTGAAAACGCTCCCACGGCTCACAAAACTGTATTGCTTATGAATTTAATTTGTATTGATCAATACATTCAACCTCACTTCATTATGAGAATTCATTATGAGAATATATTTTTTGCGAGTCCACGAGGTATGAGTCTGGCAATATAACAGCATTTCAGAAATTATTGGAATGTCTAAGCACACCGGTATCAGAGCAACACTTGACCAAGTTCCGAAGAACAAAGCCAATTCCAGTATGCATTATTCCTGATAAATTGGGGCAGTTTAAGCCTCAGAGCAACTGCGCACCCAGTGATTAAAATTAACTCCTGATGTACAACATCTCATCGGCTTTATTATAAAAATGATTTTGCCAACCTTAATTAAACACAGTCCTATTTCCTGTTGCATTCATCACAAAGTGGATTATAGGGATTCTACCAGTCGATCTGCACCGTTCGCGGATCCATCCCAAATGCAGCACGCAGATTCACAACGCCACCATCAACACTCGAGTAACCATAACCTCGGAAAAATGCAGCATGTGACATTACGACTTGCTCAAGGATCCCCAAAACATCTGTGAAAAGCAGAGGCCACCCAACCATCCGTCTGTCGTCAGGTGTGAGGAGATCCATGATGAGGTTGGCATTATTTTCACGAAAGTACGTCAAGGCTTGTTTTGAGCGCTCATCCGTGGCCAGGAAGAACCTGTGCAGCGGGTAGGCAAGATTGAGTGTCATTGAGATTCTTGGGACGAATCTACTCACTTATCACCTTCACTCGGGGGAGAGCGTGTGAGAAAGAGGCGCTGGCTGTCACATTCGGAACGTTGTAGGTTGTCCAAGTTACATTATTCTTCACCATGTTCCGTAAGATCTTAGCCCCATGTGCTATGCTGGCTTTGATCCTATCGAATTGATGCTCAAGTGTATCCCCTGCTTGCCATCCCAATCGGACAACTATTTTGCTGGGAAAATCAATGGATCATCATGATGGCTAAACGAAAGAGACTGACAATCTCCACGTCGCATGTGTGCTGCAATCCACATTCTTCCTTCGTTAATGATACGCATCCTGTCAACGACATCCGCCGCGGTTTGGAGAATAGACGGGATAGGACGAAAATCATGCAATACCATGTAATCGAATTGATTCCGAGCCGCTTCGGACGTGAAATGAAGATCACCCTAGAGACGAATTGGACTTAGGGAAGGAGGGATGGCGGGCCAATTAAACTACTGACTGGTGGTCGATCCCCATGTGTAGCACCTCTGAGAAGAAGAACATCTTCTGTTGCGGCTCCATACTCATCCACGAAACCGCGAAGGTGCTCACGGCGCCCAACCTCCTTCGAAGGCTCAGCTACGCTCTTGTGGACTCTCGAGCTAAGGCGACCATGAATGACTAAGTTTACGGTCCGAACAAAAGGATGAGGCGCACCCTCCAAATGTATACAGTAAGACCCAACCCTCGGCCTCCAACAGATGTTCTAGTTCATCCTCGCCCTCCCATACCCTCAATCCTGCCTCTTTCAGTATCCTTTTCACTTCTTCGAAATCCAGTGTATGCCAAGCGTCGTGTTCTAAACGTTGAAGCAGCACAGCTGTAATTCGTGTGGTGTTGGTGGGTACCCCTGGCGGAAGAGGCGCCAGTCTGTCGACACGGACAACTTCCCCGTGCGGCCCATGATCGAATTCTCCGTTGGGAATGATGGAAATGGTGAACGGAGGCGCGATGGAGGCTCCAAGATATGCTGTCTCCCTGAACGTCCCATCCGTTTGTTCTAAAGAATTGTTAAGGCCATGGAGTTGCAGGAACTCGGAGGTAGTGATCACTGGGTGTAAGCGTCGGAGGTGGGTGAGATCAACCATGACTCCAACAGGCATCCGCCAGCCCCTTGCCAAACGTTGGGAGGCATGTGAATGATCTGAGATGGAGCAAAGTAGCATGCTTACATCTGCTCCTCAATGGGAAGCTGACGCCATTCATCTGACCCTATCGCATCGCCACGGTTCACCATGGTTGCGAATTCTGCACAGATGCTTCTATAGGTGAAGTGAAGAGAAATGGATGGATTGGGACTAGAAAGCAAGGGGGGCTTACATCTCGTGCTCGCAAGCTCTGGCATAAACAAACGACGGGATTATCAAGGTTCGGTTCAGCAAGCTGGCGTGCAGTAGGGATGCCTCCATAATGTAGCGCATCTCCGGCCACGAGGGTAAGCTGGGTCTGAGACTACGGTGATGAGAAACGGACTCACGTTGTTCCATCCGAGCCCAAGAGGGTAATCGCGAGCATAATAACCTTTCGTTTTCGACACCATCTCTCGAATACCTTCGAGTGTGCATGTATCTTCTCCTGGGACAATGTACTGGCCAATTCCCGGACGAACATAGGGGTGTGGAGATGAGGAAATAACCGACGTTGTATCATTTGGCGGTGGTGCCTGCACACGTTCTCGATGAATGAAGCTTCTTGGGTCAAGTCCGAAAGCAAGCAAGTTGAAGGCAATCCCGGTGACAACGGCAAGGCCAAAAAAGAGACCCAGACGTATCATCGAGCCAGCTCGCCCCCCTGGCTTGCGAAGCGTTGTGCGGACTTCGTTCTCGATATCGTCTACGGACTCGCCGAGTGGAAGTAGTCGGTACGACATAGAGGAATGTTTCCGGGGCTTTTAAGACCACTGAGGCGAAGAGGACGACCTTGATACCCTGGACCCAGACTCGAAACCAGCCGTCTCCGCTTCGTGGACGACTGCACAATGTATGGGGTAGGCCAGACTCGTACCCAGTCGTGGACGCGCGCGACAAATGTAGAGTCACGTTCTGTTTCAATACAAAAGGTCACATGCTACACAGGCTACTCCGAAAAAATGCATGATGATAGAGGCTCCGACGACTGAAATTTAACCCCTATTAATACAGTTGGTCGCGTCCGATCCTTGACTAGGCTGACATCTCGGGGGGTCCGATTCTAGTATCTTTAGTTCGTGTATGGTATCGCGTGGTTGGTTCTCTTTTCCTCATTTACATCAGTATTTGTTTGTAGTAGCCTTTTGTTGGGCTCCTGCGCGCGCCTTTATTTTGCATTTGGACCTGTGTCATTTCCGCTAGAGTCTCGTCGGTCGCGGAGTTTAATCTCTTCATTGCCTTATCATTCTTTGTCTCGTCTGCCTCCCTCCTCGAGTCCTTGTCCGCGTCTCTCTACTCAGGCCTCACCGCCGATAGGCCCGTGACAGAACAGTATGAGAACGTTTATATTACATTGTGTAAAAAGCTATTACATATCTCACGCGTCCACGAGCTCCTCCAATTGGGTACGACTCCGAGTCTGTCATAATGCCCACAATCAACAATTTTCTTGCAGCCCTGCTTCGGGGCCCGCGCCAGCAAACACCCGGTTGGCGGCTTACATAACCGATGGGCATTCATTTAGTTTTGCAAATTGATTCCATCGGACCAACGTGTGTTTTCCCATTTCATCTAAATGACAATTGCACATGCGTTGCACCCAAGCTGCCCGTCATGCACCAGACGCGTAACCTCCTTTACAATTAACTAGGCGTTATGGTCAGAGCGCACCGCCGGCAATTGTTGTGGAGCAGCTCCTATGTTGCATTACATAAACTGTCTCCAAGCTCGTTACTGCGGACCTTCCATACTGGGGACTTGACTAGCAATCTTTCGGCAAATGATGTATGGCACAGGGGTAGTCTCCTATATTCGCTGGCGCCTTTCATGAAACATGTCAGTACTGCCAGCCTAGTTGGGCATTTCTCACAAATATATACATGTCCAGCCCTCAACCATTCAATTTTTATACATTGTCGCGTCGCCATGTTACTCTGCCTTCAACACCCCTGTGGGCTGTAGTCCACAATGGCTTTTCCTGTAATGGAGCTTTGCACAGAGCGGTGCCCGGAAGGGTCAAACGAGTGTCTTTTTCCACAGCCGAAATTGGGTATTAAAAGCCCCTGCCGTGGTGGCTCCGAATCTGGTTGAGGAGGCCCCTAGATCTTCTGATTCTGAACAGTTCCCATCACTGTAGCGAGTGACTCGGGCACATTGCTTCTCAACTTTCCCAACCCCAGCTTGAATTAAATGTGTTTCTGGAGATCAAACGTAATTACATACCGTAAGCACCCAGGATTATGTCGATGGGCTTCTGGCGCTGACTTGATGCATTCCAAGTTTGTGGTGAGGCCGTTACATGTTGCAAGATCTTCTAATCTTGTTTGGTTTGCTCAGGCGACACACTCAAAGAACCAAAAGCAAAAATAAGTTTCTTGCGTCTTCGCTATTGCGTTTGCTGGTATGAATGCGGTCGCCAGGTTGACTGCCAACTCAGTAACTGTCGTTTCAGCAAACAACACTCACGCAACTGCCTTGATTGTAAGGGACTCAGTAAGCGGCTTGCACGTGTTTCCTGACCTGCGGTCTCTGACAGTTTCTGTTGATTAGATCACATACAAGAGTAAGTATATGATTAATATTCGGAGATGACTGATGAAACCTGTCGCTGACTTCAAAATGCCTGGCAGCATGTCCTTGATCATTGATCGCCAGCTTCTTCAGAGTAAAGTTCTGTGCACAAAATGTCGACAGAGAACCTCTGGTGCTCAATTCCACACACATAAACCAACGCCTTGGATGGAATCATGTGTGAGCCCCTATCCAATTGGTCCTTTGACGGTTCCAGGTGATCATCAGTGAAATTCCAGAAGCCCAGAGGCATTCCGTGTAGACATTAGTTTGGATCCGCTCCAGCAAGGTATTGGCCTTTAGCACCTTGCTAAAACTTAGTCCGTACCCACTGCGTCGCGTTCACCATGTGTTCCTGCTTACAAGTCCACTAGCTGTGAAGACCAAAGCGACGTCAAGCTTGTGGTAAAAACTAACTCGCTTCTGGGGACCCCCTCTTGCCCTCGTATCTAAGTCTTGGACCCTTTTTCACTTGTGTATCGTTACATCCTGGCTAATTCTCGGGCGAACTCAACCGTGTTTGCAACACTGAGCCTGTTCTACTGCCGCTAGCAAATGAAATGTATCTTTCCCCACTTACCCGCACTGATCATTTAAGTGTGAGACTTAGATGGACGTACAATTTGTGGAAGGCAATGCCATCCTCGCCGAACAAACTGTCACCCCATCCGGAAGTGGCAGTGCAGCTTGTAGATCTTCACACAACGCCGATCAGCCGCTGGCAGCCCAAAGTGTCTAGAATCGGATATCCCAATACTCTCTTCCAATATCTTATCTGGAATGGCAGCTCTGTCGTATCAGCTCACAAACGCTCTATCGAAGCTGGCATCGTGGGGTGCCGGTCCAAGCCTACTTTCTCTACTGGAACTTGACGATGATGGGAGCGAAGTATACCACAGGTTGGTTGATGGGATTCTTGTTGCTTACCCCACTTATAGATTTGAGGCAGACCTCAGAGTTCGACCTGCCGTTTCAACGAACTTCCTGACGAAATCATGGCAACCATCTTTCATAACCTCGTCGGGGATGACAGAAGCCTTATTGCAGCAACATCTGTGTGTCGCTTGTGGCGTAGTATAGCACTGGACCGCGCCACTTTATGGTCCACAATATCCTTTTCGTGTAATAACGACCCCAGTAGACCGTACAAGGACCCTGAGGCCGCTTGCGAGAAGGTCAAAATGTTCCTGGAAAGGTCGAGATCGTGCCCCTTGTCACTTGGGATATACATCAGCCATAATTTCTACGAGGCGGACGAGTTTCTTAAAATTGCGATTTCTCACCTCCATCGATGTGAACGGATTGTCATTCGTCTTGATGGTCCATCCCATGCCTTAAAGTTACTACCTCTTCCAGGACCTTTGACATCGTTGAGGATCCTTGATTGCGATTCCATTTTCCCAATTTCTAATCATACTCTTCTGACTTCGCAAGCCCGATGTCCATTAGAAATGTTCAGCTGGACAAGCATGGGTGGAAGTGGTCCCGAAACAACACTAAAAGATCTTCTCGCTTATGTGGATCCTGGTCGCCTTCGGGTCCTCAGACTGAGAAATGAATGGCTTGAGAGAATGGATTGGATGGTCGTTGCGCGTTATACGAATTTGGAATCACTCGAAGTTGGATGTGCCGGCGAAACATTAATCTGGTCTATCGAGGAAGACTCGGACTTTCCTGTTGTTCATTTTAATCGTCTTCTTAAACTTACGCTCCATGGAATCGTTTCTGGGTGTCTTATTCCCCCAATGCTCCGAGCGGAATTACTCAGACACCTGTGTATGTATGTCGACTATGGCACTCATAACGACATCCAGTGTAATCTCCAGCACAGTCCCCACTTTCCAAACCTCCAATCATGCATCCTTCGTATACGATGGGGTTTCCCAGCGGACCTGCTCAAAACCTTTTTAAATACTCACACCAACCTTGTTGCCATCGAGCTCCCTCTTTGCCATCTGGGAGTGTTACAATACCTAGAGCGCCAATCACCCGCTTCATCCTTTCCATTGAGGCTCCTCCGGCTGCGGATCACGGACTTTGACATGGCGTACATTCCAGAGGATCATTGCACAGGACTTGTGCGCGATTTGACGTGCTTGTGTGAGAAACGCATGGCTCCAAATTTTGCCTTGCAAGTCCTGTGCTCGACGCATTGGCGGCCAAAGGGGTTGGTTGCGGAGATGCTGTGTCGCGCAAGGGCTCAAAGTTACTGGATACCTTGTGAGGAAGAGTGTACGGGCATTCCGGCCGAGGACTTGTGGAATTGTGCACTGTTAGCTGGAGGAGAAACAGAGGATGTCCTTAACATCGGAAACTTGTGAATGGAACGAGTTGCTGTCCCTTACATAGATCTGTGTCGGGAGTGCAATTCATCTCATTTGTTCGTTAATCGGTTAATCGCTAAGATGTTGCCCATAAGGGCATGGAAAAATACAAAATGAGCAATAATTCCTCAATTCCACACATGCACCACGAGGCATCACCAAGAAACCAATCCCGGGAACACTATTCCTCTTCGCTATCGTCATCCTCTTCATCTCCTCCACCTCCACCTCCTACACCTGAGCCATACGATCCACTCCCGCCCCTCCCACTTCCCTTGATGGGCCCTTTTGGTAACCCCATCCCGGAGATGGGCAACCCTGTCCCCCCGTCCCACACGCGGCTCCAAACTGGCACATCGTAGATTCTCATATCATACTCTGCACAACCTTCATCATACAAGGCGATCTCTTCTGGGGTTAGACCTCCACCAGGGATCGACAACGGTAATGGGCTAATAAATCGACCCTTTCGTCGGGCAGTAACAGATTCGGGAATTGGGAGCGGCTGCAGGGCGGGGTGCGACTTAGGGAGGATATGATGCGCGTGACGGAGTCTCTCAAGGAGGGTCATCCGCCGCGTCTCAAGTGCACCGATGTGCTCGATTGCTGTTTCTCAGTATGCACCACCGGCCATGATGGCGAAATGTTGTGACGTAGGAGTTTTGTGGCAAATTGCATCAGGATCGCGGGGTTTGAATATCATGGATGCAATGGACAGACCAGTTGGAGAAAAATGTTAATAATGAGGTACTACTGCGGCGACGTTGAACGGGGTGTGAATACGTACTTTTCTGCAAGACTACGGCTTCGCTTCTTGGTCCTGCCCTTCCATCCATTTTGTCACCATCCTCAAGCCCGAACGCGGCAGCGGCAGCAGCCTTGCCCTTGGCCCGCTTCTTGGCTACAGCAGCAGCGCTTTTGTCGCCAGCAGCATCTTCGCTACTCTGCCTTTCTGCCTCTTCTTCTGCGACTATGGCTTCCCTTAACGCAGGAACAATTTCGCACAATGCCTCGTATCCTCGTCGAATGTTAGCTCGGCGCTTTTGTTCCGATTGAATGTGATTGGCCTTCTTCTGAGAGGTCGAAAGAAGGGTCGGCTTAGATGACCCGCCAGAGGAGGGCCTTGCCTCCTGTGGAGATGGCTGGATGGGCATTATTTCAGCTATTGATATAGGCGTTGTTATTGGAAAGGTGGCAGATGGCGGGCCCGCGGAAGAGGCGGTTGGCGAGGGAGAAGAGCGACGCGGTCGCTTTGCGTTCGCTGCCGATGTCTCAATAGAAATTCGCTTGAGTGATGACTGTGTAGGCTGAATGGGGTGGGAGGTAGACGATGAAGATGGAGGTCCGCTTTGTGCATCGTGAACGGGAGTGATCGTATATGAGTGACTACCTTGGAGGGGGGAGGAGCTAGAAGTATAAGAGGGGAGCGGAGGATATGTAGTGTGCTGAGCGTCAGGAGGTTGTGGGAAGGATCGACTCGCTTCTTGTATCTGGTCTGAGTTGATATTATATGGATACGATGGCACACTGGCGCTACGATCAAGAGACATCAAGTTTCTCGTCGCTCGAGACAGATCTTCTCTCTGGTATGTTGTGTTTGACGTCGTGTCGGGATTGGCAAATATTGACCATTCTGGGGTGAATGCATCTAACTTGTCCAGAGACGAAAGGAACGAATGGAAAGCATGGGACTCTGGTGGAGTTAGCAAGGCGAGTTGACTGTCTTTACTCTGAGCCATGGCGGCGGGATCGTCGATGCCAGTGACCGTGCGCTCAAGTCAATGGCAAGAGGCGTACCATGTTCAACATTACGCGTTTCTTCACATGATACCTGCGTGCGGAAGCAAATATTCCCACTGGCAATCAGCATTGCCACCCGGTGACCATCAACTCACTCGTTCACACCGGCCGGGAGTATTCACTACTGTACGTTAAGCAGCGCAGGGAAAACTCGGGCGAACGGGGGTTCGCCACTCGGCAACGCTTTGCCTGCAGCTTCGCCTCCCCCTCGAGCCCTTACCAGGCCATCATCACATTTTCAGATTTCGCAGGACTCATGGCGTATGAGCTCTAATCCCATTTCTGTGCCGCCACCCCTGGAACAAATCTGTGGTGCATCTTTCTTAGTATGAATGGTGCTGATTCCATAGAACCGCCCAAGTACATTCGTAAAACTTCTGACCCTATACATAAGCAGGGCTCAACTTCCACGATGCTACCTCTTTGCTTTGTTGGCATCGGAATGAACCTTCGATAATTGACCTTCAGATCCCTCATTTCTGGATCACATAAGGCCAAAACTCCGGACTCCCACGGAAGTCCCAATACGAGGGTATCAAATTCTTGAAGCCGGCTGACCCATCACCTCAACTCTTGGAAACTGCTGAATGACGGCGACCCTTGGGACTAGTTCCTCACACTTTACTAGAATGACACGACCCGTGGCATTTGGCACGGTAACGAGTCTTGTTACAGACACTGACTGCGGGTGGGCGCTAAATAACTCGAAGTTTAACATCAGTCGTTGGTGCGGTATCACCACTCTACGCCCTCACTCTGAATTCGCGGTGAACCTAGACCGAAAGAAAGTTAATGGTCTTCTCACAATGTGGAGATGTTCTCGGGACATCCTGTACTTTGGTTAATAATGAACCATCTGACTTTGATTCAAGGAAAGATAAGCGGATGGTGAACGTCAGTTGACACCACTGAGGACTCCAGTAAAGTCACTGAATATTCGATCGTGAGGCCGCAATATTACAGAAGTTGTCAGAGTATGAATTCGCTCTGGTCATAGATATGCACAGGCCAATTAGAGAAAATATTGCATCAAATGCGAAGAGAGATAAAAGCAGAAGAGTGCATCATAAGATACTGTGGATGACATCTTACTCCCGAGAACCAATTCCTAGTCATCGAGAGCAGGCACCTCTATACACAGCAAGACAGAAGAGGGGCACTACCATAGCTGTGTATAAGACGCAAAGTGGGATTTCAGATCACCTAACACAAGACAAGACGGACAGGTGAGGACACACGCCTTCTATACTATACAGACTTTTTTTTCAGAGCAGACGTTCAGTGTTTCAAAGGCGCTGCGCGCTTAACTTCAGGGAGGACGGGTGGGGGAGGTCCTTGCATGGTATGAGCAAGTCGAGAAGATGGCCCCGGCTCAGAGACGACAATATTGTTCGATGCTGAAATTGAATTGTGGGTTTCATTTGTTTTGAGCAACGCAGAAGGCGGCATCGAGATCAGACGAGAAACAGTGTATGGGAGCGGATACTTCGCAGCAGTTGCGAGGGCGATGTACCGAGCCAGCTCGAGGTGCAGGGTGGGATAGTATGTAGTTGAGGCTCGCCTTGTAATCTAAAGGGTGCAGTTGTTAAACGGAAAGTGCTCTGAAAATCGTGAGAAGCGTACCACGACAATTCGTTCGAATCCAGACGCGAACAAGTCACTATGGAACTTGAACGCAGATGCTTCATCAGTTGGGGGCAAATCCATCTCCGCGGCAGTCCGTGCGAGGGAATTGATTAGGCGGAAATGGGAAGTCTGTCGTGCACAAGTCAGACCAGCGAATCAACAGATGCGTGCAACATAACAAACCAGATATGTAGCAGCCTCGTACTCAACGCCGCCCGTCATACCCCCAGGGGCGCGAGGCTTCTCCACTTTAGCCTCATCCGTATGTGCCAGGCTCCAAATGGCGTTTTGAGGATGACAAAATACCCAGAAAAAATCCCGACATATATCACTCAGTTCCTGGAGGTATGTCTTATAGATACGTGGGACATGGAGGGACTCGATGAACTCATGGGGATCGACTGGGACACCAGGCTGTTCAGTTGGCGGTGGAGCCTTCGTCAGGAGTAGCGACTGAACAAGGCTGAATAAGGAAGAGTGTGGTGGAGGAACAGGGAATGGTGAAGGTGTGGACGGCGGATGACGGAGGTGCCTGTCCTGAAGGGAAGAGACCGAGCCAGCGTTCACCCACGAGCTGCGTTTCGACGTCTCGGATAATGCACTCTTGTGTCCACCTGAGGGAATAGTGTTGGTCGGATACAACTCAAATAAAAGGAGAAGGAGATCGATAATCAATTGCCGTGTCCCAACGTCACCCGGCTTCTTATCAGAGTAGAGCAGAAAAACGAGCTCTTGGAAAGGTGAAGGACTGGACGTCCGCAAAGCAAAACACCCAATCGACGAAGTAGAGAGTGCTTTGAAGCACCTCAGAAGCTCGTGCAGTATTTTATCATCCCGTTGTTCCTCTCTGAAATATGTGACCATGTCAACTACTATCTGAAAAATTTCGGGATCTACAAACCTCCATTCGACGTGAAGCAAATCCAATAGTCTCTCGAGCAACGCAGAATATCCACCTTCCCGAATATAAAGTTCGGTCCAGCTGGAACAAAGGTACCAGTTGGGAGTCATGAGTTTGAAAGACCTAACAAGAGGCTTACCCGGCAGCCTCATTACGAAGCATGAGACGAAGCTTCTTTAATCCCTCAACGTCTAGTTCTGTGCAAACCGAGTTCCTCAGCAGCGAAACGAATTTTGCGGTTTCTTTTTCCTTGTCCTTGCTGGAGGGACGGTCTTTCACTGACTTGTGCGAAACGGAGATGGATGACGGATTGGCTAAGAGGGTAAATGGTGATGTAGGCCGCGGAAGGCTGCTCGTCGAGCTCGCGAGCTCAGCGTTCAGCCATGGGCTTACAACCCCTTCGGGATATGACGAGCATGCAGATGATCCGGACGACTGGGTCTCAATGGCTGGGGGGTGAACAGACCTGGACCTTCCATGAGATGAGCGAGGCAACTCAGCAAGGGACGATCCACTTCGAGATTTCCTAAGTGATGGAGCTTTCGGAGGCAGCGGAGCAACGCATTCAACGTCCAGAATATGGGAAGATTTCAGCATAGATTCCTTCACGGACTTCTCCATAGCAATGAGCTTGGGGCGAAGCGATTGAGGGATCTGCAAGTCCTCAAGCATTTGCTCAAACGCTCGATTCATCGCGCGCGTTTCGAAATCGAGTCCAGCAATAGGCCGAACAGCGCCTCTAGGCACAGATGGAGATCGGGAACGGGGAGCTAAACTCGACTTGTTAGGAGGAAGCTGTACCCAAGGCGTCTGCTTCACAGGCATCGTTGGATTGTCGGTACTCGTCGAGCGACGTCTGTTTTCCTTATCATCGGAGACAAGAGACCAGAGATCCGAAGGATCTGTAGCGGGTCGTACTGAGGGCTTGTCCTTTTGCAGGATCTTAAACATGTTAAGACAGGATGGATGTCGAACAGTGTGGTGTTATTTAGATCTGTTTGGCCCACCCCATCGATACAAATAGCCCGCACGCGCTTTCCAACGCTTTTCTCCTGCTCTTCACGCATGGTTCCGCCCTCGTGTCGCACATTTGCAGCGCGTTTCCCTGGGGGACTTATAATACCCGTGCCCTTTTCCGTGTGTTTGTCGTTGTAGATGGGTTCCGTCCGAAGGTCCTCTGGTCGCAATGCCCCAAGCGTTGTTCGAGAGCTCGTACCGGGCCATTATATGTTGGCTGCTGCTGCTGCGCCTACTGACGGGAAATTACAAGCTTGACGCCACCACGGTGTTGATCTTGTCTCGAATACAACTGCGTGCGTGAACAACTGTATATTTCACTGCATTAGATCTCTATTGTGCAGCTCCTGAGAGGAGACCTCGACCGCAAGTGGGTCATTACGCTACTCCTTCACACGCAGGTTAGGCTACGATCCAGTCATGTCTTGAGGCTGTATCCCAGACCTTGCGCAGTCTCAGCCGAACCTATCGTCACTGTACCCTGACCTTCCTTCCAACTTTCACCCTTCACCCACTCCACGCATTCACATCTTGAGCCAGATTTTATCTCCCCCGATAGCTATGCCACATTCGCAAATCACGAGAAGCGATATAGCATGGCAAGCTGACTGCTCTTGCGCCATGCCCTTCTTTTCTGATCCTGAAAGCCTATCATTAATTGACGCACTTACGTCTGGTCCGCATCCATCGAGCATTCAAAAAATCTCATCATTTCGGAAGATTATGTGCACATATTGTTGGAGCCTATTGCACGTCTGACACGCTTGTCGCGTCATTTGGAGGTAGCATACTATCAGGAAACCAAGCCTTTGCAAGGGATAGCTAGTTGTTCTGAACGCCGCGGTGTGGGGAGATCCAACATGTTTATTGATAGTGATACTAGCGAGTAATCGTGGAAAACGAATCGAAATAATTGTGAAGTAGGATCGTGCAATAACTTAAATGGCAACGATGACAATTAAGGTGGGGTATCTACGGCAGCAATTTCCGGATGCCTTCTTTTTGTGAAGGCGTCAGTCTCTCAGGGAAGTCAACAATATATCTAGTGGGAAGCATGCTTCAATGTAAGCTCAAGATATCTTGAAGTCAAGCCTACCTGATGATCAAATCCCCTTTTCCTCTTGCCGTACCTTCCTTCCGTATCGGCCAGCCTTGCCCAGGAATTTTGTGCTCTGTTCCAGGCATAATGACTGTATTGGGCAATGACCACGTCACTTTCTTCCCATCGAGACCCGTAATACTGCGCGTCTGACCGGAGCTAGTAAGTGCGTCGCCTAGTGGGACATGGTAGTTAGCGACGAGTATATCTCCTTCGCGTTTAAACACTGGATGCAGTATCTCCTCGATCACGAACACCATGTCTGGCGGATCCAGGCCATCGTCGCGCTCATTCCGATACCACTGAAGCGGACTTTAGTGCCTTCTTTCCAACCGGGTTGTATCTAATAACAGGAGAATGTGTCAATCACACGCGAATGAATGGATTGGAAAGACGCTCAAACCTACGTCTATATCGACCACCTTCTCCTGGGTGGTCCCATCGTTCAGTTTTCTGTTTATCTTTAACGTTTTCTTCGTTCCAGTAACTAAATCCTCGAGTGGTACCTTTAGTGGCCGCACAACATCTGGAGCTTTAGTCGAGTCGGAACCAGGGAAGTTGGCCGAACTAGCGGTGTGCCGTCGTTCGCTAGGCCGACGAGCACGCGGTGATGAGCGGCCACCGCGGGGTCCGAACATCCCGAAGGGTGAGCCTGGCGCATCATCTACATCCATATCGAATAATGAGCTGTGCCCCCCCATCCCAGTGAAGTTTTGGAAGAATTCCGCGAAGATGTCATTCGGATCCTATATGACGCCATTAAAACCGGAAAGATATGGTGTTAACGAACAAGAAACACTTGCAGATGGTTTGAAAACCTCCCCGAGCGGCTGATGGGCCAGATGAAGTGAAGGTGAAAGTGCCGCCGCCAGGGAAACCTCCAAATCCACCTGGAAATCCCCCAGGGAAGCCTCCTGAACCCCCAGCCCCATTCGGTGAAGGAGCCCCATGCTTTAGTCCTATAGGGAAAAATATAGTCAGGTTCGAACCACGTCACTCTGAGCGACGCACCTTCTTCGCCAAATTGATCGTAGACAGCGCGTTTATTGGAATCTATGCCATCAAAATCCATAAGTACTCCATTGACAACCCAGTGGATGGCTTCGATTGCCAACCTGAAAGGACTTCATATGCCTCGCCAACCTGAAGAGCAGGAGTCAGTATAGTCATCCGATCTCATCGATCGTTAAATAAACACTAGCCTCTTTGAACTTCTCGGCAGCTTTTGTGTTCCCGGAGTTGCGGTCTGGGTGCCACTTGAGAGCTTGTTTCTTGTAAGCTAGAATGGGGTAATCAGGATTGAAACTACGACAAGGCGCTTGTGCAAAGCGGGTCGAGTTTCACCTACCTTTTTTGATATCATCTTCGGTGGCAGTCTTTGGGACATCGAGTATTGTGTAGTAATCCTTTCCCATGTGGCGAAATCGGGAGGACTGACAATTGGGAGTGAAGCGGGGTTTCTTATATGGCGCCGGACAGAACTTGCCAGAAACGACCAGGTGTGTGTGTGTGTTGATATTTAACGTGCACGTGGAGGCTGCCCGATTAGGGGCGCAAGGGCACGGATCAAAAGATTAAAAATTATGACAAAGTAGAGAAACTAAAGCATGAGGTTGCGTGGGTTCGGAATCTAGGGATTCCTACACCGTTTCCAGGGGGGAGTGTACGGGGGTTGGGTGATACGGTGCCGGCTCCGAGAATTGTTGGCCAGACGCAATGGAGCGTGCCTCTTGATGCTTTGGAGTATCGGCGGCGACGGGATAGTTGAAACGGCACCTGAGAATGTTGGCCAGACGAACTCCTTCGTGCCTCTTGGTCTTTGGAGAACCGCGCTTCGGGGAACGAAAAGGAAGCTAAAACCGTTAGGCGCCCACATGGGAGCGCGCGAGAAACGACTAGGTCATTCGGCCACGTGCGCCTAAATGATCTGGGGTAAGCGCCCACAAAGCTGACGGTCCCGAGTCCAAATTTCAAACCTACCCCCGAAGTGTTGAGACTCAATACGTCATTTCTGTCCTTCCTTCTAAGTTGGTGTGGCTTCAGTTCGGCAAGTATTCAGGAACTGCTCTGCACAATCTACCACCGTTGCCACGGTCGGGTTCGGTTCAGATTTTTCGAGGACCAGAACCGGGACCGTCCCAAAATTTCGCTGTCCTGTCGAACCAGGACCAAACCGTAGGCAACCGCGGTTACAGTCCTGGGGCCGTTCAGTTCGGTCCTGAGACCGTCCCGGCAATCTTATTATGAAGAGAGTGTGTATGATAGTACGTATAGTGGGAACTGGTGCTGTCAACTGAGCATCAAAACTCAAGATCTATTCCTTCTTCTCCGCACGATCCAAGATAAGAATTCCCGCCACTCTTGAACCTTCGCTTCCTCTGAAGCCTTCCTCTCCTTGTCCTTGAGGCGATTCCGCTGTATGTCGGCTTTGGCGATCCGGATAGCACCGAGATGCAGAGGGGTGATACGACTCCGGGTGTCGCTGTCAGTGTGTTTTGCGGCAGAGAATGCCCTTTCACATGGGACAGAAGATGCGGGGACCGAGAGCATGTCTTGGGCAATGGACCTGAGGACTGGATATGCGGAACCTTCTTTCTGGGAATCGGGATAGGTTAGTTCAGCAAACAATACCATTGTAACTAACAATACTTACCATCCAGAAGTTGAGGATCAGGTAATCGCTAAGATAGCGTGTGAGCTCCGCACCAGGATCATCGCTAACTAATTTCTTGAGCTTGTTGAGCTTGACTGGCTGCAAGATGGCGAGAAAACCCATAGGATATTTCATCGGTCAAGGGAGTGGTTGCTATAGATACAATGTCACCTCCAATCATCCTGGTTCCATTTGAGGAAGTGGACCAAGTCACGTAGGTAGAATGATATTCAATAAACTTGTAGTCGTCAGTGACAGTTAGGCAATAAGTAGATGTTTTGATTTATGCAAGATGTTTCATACCTGTGCTGAGAATGGTGAGAGGTGACATGTCCATTTCATCGTAATATTTCCCCATAATAGCAATGCTAGCATCGAGTGCATCATAGATGTTGGCATATTGTCAGGGATGGCTCAGAAGTGACAGGGGTTGTGGTGTGTTGTCTGGCGCTAACGGCCCGGATGGCAGCAGAGTCGTGGGAGTGTATGTTGGGCAGCCCTCACTTGGGCAGATGTCCCTGCAAGCTTCTTAGACTGTGTCAGGGCACACCTGCCCAACCCGGCTCCACCCAGCTTCACCCAGTACCCTGCTCACCTCCACCCCTCACCCTTCACCATCGTTTCTCACTTCTTGTTCTTCCTTTTGTCCTTCTGTTCTTTTACTCTCTTGCTCTTTCTTCTATCTTTATCTACATGGACGACATTTCCCCTTATCTATGTATTATTGACCCGCCCGCGACGCGTGCACGACGCACCCAGCCCCAGACGACCTGGACGGCCTCACGGTGCAACCCAGCATGCGTGTGTGCAGCACACACCCTCGGGATCCCCCACATGGACACCCGGATGACCGCAGCTGTATGCGGGATGATGTGGCAAACCTCATGTGACCCAAGCCACATGTACATAAAAGTACCTGGGGTGGGAACCAAAGAAGTAACCTTCTTCTCACAGTTCCCACTTCAGGTAAGTAGCATAGCTTCCCTTTTAATAACAACCCACAGTTCCCACTTCAGTCTGAGTGGCCAGGGATCGTCATCCTGGATCGGGCCCATCACTATGCACACCCACTCTACACCTCGCGACGGCCTCAGTGCCGGGTGTTACACCTGGGCCCTGTCAGGGTTCAGCACCCTGCCCTAGGGTGCCCCAGACTCCCCAACCAATCCCTTCCTTCCATTCCTTCATTGTTGCCTTGTTGTTGCCTTTCTGTGTTGTGTATCCGCGCACATGAGATAGCGTGGGAACTTTCTGAGCAAGCAGCTCGCCCAGAATGTTCCCACAGGTCACAGCCACAGTTCTGGGCAAGCAACTCGCCCAGAATGTTCCCACGCTTACTGGGCACTGCCACCTGGATGTTCCCTCTGGGTCACACTACACAACTCTAGGAGCTGTATAGTTGTGGGCATGTGACCCATTCCTTTATATAGCAACCATGCGGGGAGATGAGACCTTTACCCTTCTTCTCATCTCATACCCCGCATAGGCAAGTGTATATATATTCTTTCCTTTTACTATACATCTCATACCCCGCATAGTGTGAGGACAGGCCAGATGGGGTTGAGGTCAGGGAGCCTCCGAGTCCGAGGCCGGGCCCTGACAGGCCCCCTCGACCCCAGACACGTCCCTGATAGCAGAAGAAGGTTTTAACCTTATCTCCCCCACCTCCCCTATCTCCCCAGCCATGGTGTCAGCAGTACGATGACCTGCTGGCCCGCTTCCAGGAGCTCCAAGCTATTGTGGAGAG